ATGTTGACACCAACATCTGACACCACAGTCAATGGAGAGAAATAGTCACCTGCAGGACAGGATTCATCTGTTTCTAAAGCAGTTGGCTAAAGCAGGGTCAGATGAACGATGTCCTAAAATATCTCCTTCCTTTTCCCCATCAGTCAGTCAGAGGCAGACAGCTGGGCTACAGGCATCTGAAGCTAATGCTGGACTCAAAGCATCAAAGTGACTGCAGAGATGAGATTCAAGTACACACATGGAGTTTGCAGCAATTAATCCACTTCTCACTATGACGGCTGGAAATCTTACTCTGGAGAACACAAACACAAGTCTCCAGCTCCTATGCAATCTGTGTTGCCATTTAAAATGGATCAAGATGCAGCCCTTATAGCTGTAGATATAGCCTTTTAAATGCAAGGAAAATGCAAGTGGAAGCAACACTATTCCTGAGCTTACAGACTGAAACCAATAGGTCTTAGTAAAGCTCAAGAGCACCACAGGAAAATTCACAAGTCTGACAGTTTTGAATTATTCCTCCTTAGATTCATGCCATCAGAGCTGTCCATCAGTTCCTACTCCTGGGTTTAAATGCAGATTCTGGGAGCAGAGGGGAAGATAAGCCCCAGATTTGTGTTAAAACAACTTTTTTCTTTTTTTTTTTTTTAAGTGAACAAGGCAAATGAGTCCTTAAATAGAACTTAATAATGTAGACTGCAAACATTCCAATATCTGACCTGGCAGAAGAGCTCATACAGCCCAAACTGATAAGCCCCTAATAGAAGTTAAACCCTAAGCTGTTCCCTCATCTCTCTCCTGACAGGTGCTGAATTGTCCCATAACACAGATGGCTGGGAGCAGGTTGCAAGAACAATTCACACAGCCCACAGCTCCTCTCCCTGTTCAGCTCCAAGGGGTTCTCTGGAACAAGCACAGGCAGGACTGTGTCACCTTCACCAGGACACCAGCAGCCCACCTCTGGTCACTGTCTTCCTCCAGGTGCAACTCAGGGAAAAGAGCATCCTGTGTGCAAGGGTGTTTCCCAAGCTTCCCAGCTGGGAAACAATTACAGCTACTCTACATAGGGCAACGGCACAGTGTATGCAGCAAGGACAGCTCTCACTGCAAACTGGAAGGGCTGGGCACAGCCAGGGTGAAGCCTCTGCTCAGGCAGGAGCATTTCCTGACACAGTGATCAGTTATTGCACATGGGCTGAAGCCTGCCTGATCAGGAGCCATTTCTTGTCCTGCAGTTACACAGAGCTTACACAGCATGAGCTGCCAGCTGGGGCTGGTGAATACTGCTGGGGTACAAACAAATAAAATCAGCCTTATTCACACCAAATTCCAAAGCAGAGGCTGTTTGCCTGCCCACATTCTAGGTTAATACAGAGGGCTGGGTGAACCTCTCAAGTCCAACTAAAGCAGACACTGACCTTCTCTGACAATAAAAAAAAAAACAAAACAAAACACAGCTATGGAGAAGCTGCTTCAGTACTCAAAACCAGATTATTTATTCAAACGGAGAGATTACTTCTCCCAGTGAAAGGCCAACTCCAGAATCATCTCTTCCATCACACGTGAGAAACTGTCTAATCTTAACCTCCATTTCAAATGCTAATTACTTTCCAGAATCCTAACCTGAATTCTTCCTAGCTTCTATGGAGGATAAAAAAAAATAGACATGAGAGATCTTCATCTTTCCCTTTCTAAATTTATATGAATTATGTAATTGCACTTTTAAAGGACTAGAGCAAGTGACTAAAAAAGTAATGCAGAATGAACTAACCACTTGCAACAAAGCAGGAAAAGAATACTTTTAAAAGCAGAAGAGCACTTTCTCCCTCCAGAAAAACGTGAAAAGATAAAGTAGAAGACACTATAATTGCATATGTGAAAAATTATTCAATGACAAGGGGATGTATGGCAAGTTATTTTAATTGCTAAGTTTACGATATTCTTTAAATGATGTAAAGGATACCGAGAGAACAAGGATGGCTGTCATCTAAGAGAAGGTGTACAGTCAAAGACACCTTCTTTAAAAGTTAAAACTACCTTAACATACTTATCTGATAAATTATATACACATACTGGCAGTGTAATCTAGCAGGAGTGGCTCACAGGCAATTTCTAAAGGCAAAACCTTGTCATTGTGAAAGGATTTATTAATAATTATGAATTAAATAATGATTATCAAAGTTAAGTGCCTGGAAGCATTTTGCCAAAATCATTTAGCTCTGGACTAAAACTCCAACAGTCAAGGAAAGACCAATCAATTTTATCATGGTAGGATTTCAGTTTAAATTCAGAAGGCAACTTAAATCCATTGGGGTTTTGGGGGTTTTTTAAAAGGCACGGGGTATCCACTCAATTGATTTTAGGACAAATGTATTTGTATTACTACACCTTTAATCAAGACTTTAGAGGAAGGCACTGTGAAGCAGAAGAAAAGCAGTCCTTATGCTGAGAGCAACACAATGGCTCCCCTGTAGAAGCTCACAGGAGCAAGATAAGCGTTTGTAGCCTCTCCAATAAGCAAAATTACTGACTCTGAATGCAAGAACAGTGATGTATGACAAACAAGGAGCTCAGCCTGCCAGAAACTTTGTGTTTGTTGTTCCAAAAAGGTTAGAAGCCACTGATTTAGAGTGTATTAGAAGAGATAGTGTGGAACAAAAACCAGATATTGGGAGACTGCAAGGAACGAAAAAACAAACCAGAGCCCCCCTGACCAGCATCCTAAGAAGGAATATTCCCAACAGTGAGAGTGCTGCCTTGCTAGATCAGGTGGGTTTTGGGACCACAAGCTAATCTCCACTAGCAGCCCTGTGTTACCCAATGGCTGAGGTGTGAGAGAGTCTCTGGAAGGGTTTAAGAAGTCCAGGAGCTCAGCTCAGGGCCAGGCACAGTGTCACTGCCCCCAGTTTACAGGCAGAGCCAGGCAGTGATTCTGCAGCCGGCTCACAGGCAGCACAGCCAGGTAACAAACCCTGACACTGTGCACAGCAGGCTCTGCCTTGCTCACAACCACATCCTGCTTTTCTTTGGTGCCAGCAGGAGGAAAACAGCACTACAACAAACAGTGGGAGATATCCCTCAAATCTTGATGGTACACAAAGCCTGAAGGAATGCGCATTACAGAAAGATTTAGTTTGCTGGCATGAAATCAAACGTATAAACCCAAGATTATTCACAAAGATCAAGACAACCTTCAAAGAAGCCAGAAATCCAGGGGGAAGCAAAGGATTTCCAAGTAGTTCCACTTTTCTCACACAAGCCAGGGAATCTCAGAGAGAGGGTCATAAATAATGGACTTTATTTTAATTCTTTGCATATACTCTTGCTGATGTAGTGCCTAGTGTCATCTGGAAATGCAAGCTGATAGAGAGCCATTTTTGGATACTCAAAGACACCTTAAAGGGGACTTTTTCTTGGAATAAGAGTGCTTGATTTTGGAAATACAAACTACTGTAATTTACTAATTGCTTTACATAGCCTACAAGTATTAGAGCACTTCTAAGATCAGATTTGTGATAATAAAAGCCTCTGTAAACTAACAAGGAAAGGCACTTCAGGATGCAGTGATAGAAGGCAGAATATTCAAATTAAGGTACCTAGTTAAACATCAAAGTAACCAGCCATTGACAGAACTATCCTTGTACAAAAAGAGTCACCAGTACTTGATGTCCTCAAAGCAAGACCAGTGTATTCTATATATATATATATATATATATATATATATATATATGATTATGCTTAAGCCACACGATGGTTAGATGTTGAAATCAGCATTAATGCAAGTAGCCTTATCTCACATCTTTATTGTGAGTTGTTCTGTCACAGCAAAATTCAAAGGCAATTTACTGAATTGAAAGCAGGTGCATGGAAGTGCTGGTTAGACCAAGAGGACTATCTCAGGAAAGTTTGATTCGTTTAAGTTGACAAAACATAGCACAATAGAGGGTAAGGTCACTGCCTGCAAACACACTCGAGGAGAAGGAGCTGCAAGAAATGCAGAGAGACATTTAAACCTTAGGATTATCTTGGTCCAGAAATGAAATAAACCAACCATAAACTCTTCCTGGCTGGAGCTTAGAGGAATCTGAGTATGAAGTAGCTGTGATCTGGAGCAGCTTCCCAGTGGGAGAAGTCAAAGAGGAGAAGAAAGCAGATAAAGAGGGAATCCAAGAGTCCACAGAAAGGGCTCCTGCCCCATGTTGATCCCTCAGGAGGAGGGAGTCTTCCCTAGGACTCAGGCTTGGAAAACCAGGTTGTCTTTCCAGGTCTAAGCTTACATAAAGAGTTCAGTAACTTGGTAAAAGGTTATCACTGGATGAGAAGGATCCACATGTTTTGGGGCAGGTTTCCTGCCTATTTCTAAAGCAGGAAAGTTTTTATTTCTTCAGACACGAAGATAACTTCTGTTTTTCACTGGTTCTCCCACAGTGCAGGAGAACACACAGCAGGAGTAAAACATTGCAAGAAGGGATAATTTAGGATCTAATCTCGAGTAATGTGTGCAGTCAGACAGGAGGGCATGGAGGAGCTCTACACTCCACCACCAGAGGTGAACTTCACAGATGCTCCACTGTCCAGATCGTCCAGCTCTTATCATCACAGGGAGGGAGAACTAAAAGGTACTGAAGAATCAACATCAGAGTGCAAGAAACTCACAGAGCAGCAATGCTCTGCACCAGCTCCTGGGTTATCATTCAGTCCCAAAGCATGAAGTATTTATCCTTCCTTCTCCAAACCTGATCCACAGGCTCTGGATTCAGCCGCCCTTTCTGCAGCACACTGAAGTCAGTAATCATGAAAGTTAAAGCCAAAGAAACATCAACCCAATAATGAAACTGTTGGAGCTGCTCTTGCTCTCTGTGCTTCAGAAGCAGTTTACCATAAAACCATCAAAACACAGATAGCAGGAGTCAGGAGAGCTGGATTACCCTCCTGACAGTTCACCCCAAGGAAAAGTCATAAGCTTTCCATAACCACTTCATTGTCTCCATGCCCTCACTCACCCCCTCTGTACACAAAGCTTCCCCTCTTTGGAAAGTGTAGAGAGACTCTTCTGTGCTCACAACTGCAATATAAAAACAAAATCGTGTGTTAATGATATTTAAATTGATTTAATGAAACAGTTTCAATGCCACCCTTCCTTCCTCCCAACTCCACCCTCTCCTTCGAGAGGGAAATTTGTTTTGGTTAATATGGAGGGAAAAGAAGCAAGCTAAAAATAGCCTCCTTTCGCCTTAAAAAGGTTAAAGCTATGAATAAACAGCCTGAAACAGGAATGCAGTTTATCTGCCCACCAAATTCCTACACTGTTTTCTTGTTCAGCTTTCCAAAACATTTTTATAAGGATCAAACACACAGACTTAGATCTGCAGAGCCAGTGGTGTCCTAGAACTGCCTGCTTCCATGCTAGTAAGGTAACTGGTTTTGGCATGAGGAGGAATGGTTTGACACTGGATGAACCAAAGACATAATCTAGGACCATTAAGTACTAGAATATTTGAGTAAATCTCCTAGCATCAAAGGAATCAATATGAAAAAAACTGAGAAAAATCCACCAAGAAAACAGAAAACCCTTTCTCGTTTCCCTTTAACTGTGCAACAAATAAACTGCATTATCTCCTTAAAATCTACCTTGCCAGTAAAAAGCATTCACACTGTTATCCCTATCTTAGACCCAAGTCACATCTGTCCCTGACAACAACAGCTGTCAACACTGAAAGAGCAGGGTGATCAGCCAGCCTTGTCACCCTGGGCTGAAAGCCAAAGCAAGGGTGGCTTATGTATTTGCAGTGCAAAACCAAACAAACTCTTTATTCTCTTCCCTGTGCTATGCCATTAGCAAGCAAGCTGATCAGCCCCAGGGAGTATCCTTCCAATCTGAATATCTGAACCCAAACTTAATTTCCCCCTAATTCCCTTCCACTGTATCACCAGCGAGCTCCAGGTAATGCCATAGGAGTCACGTGTGCTATCCTACCAATGCAAACAGAAGCCTCTTGGCAGAGTCCCCTTTCATTCCCAGTTTCCCATGGCACGAGGCATCAGAGCATGCTGCCCTGCAGTGCTACAGACACTGCTATGATACCTGATAGGAGTTACATCTTATAAAAAGGAAACCACCTCCCCTCTTACAGCAGATGAGCCCTCTGGAAGGAGAAAGGAAATGTCTCACTTTCATCTCAGAGTTCAGAGGGAATGTTATATAGCTGTCAATCCTATCAGGATCTTATTCATTCACACACCAGGGACAGCAACAATTCTGAGGTAGGTTGTAAAGCCATGAAATAGCCAGGTTCTGAAAAGATCTTTGCCCAGTGACATTTGGAAAGCAAGGTGAAAGGCTTTACTGACTCTAAAGTAAATAGTGAAAGCCAACATGCAACAGGCAGACCAGAGGAGTTAAGCTGATGAGGCTACACAAGGCAAAGCCAATTGAGGAATATGGTAGCACCTGCTAGTGAAATCCCAGGTGAGGGGTGTGAACCCAAGCTAACATCTGGTGTCCCAGGTCCAAGCAAGCACTTTCACTCAGAGAGGCAAGAATCCACAGTGATCAGAGTGGGATAGTGGATGCTGGGATCTCACACTTGCACATCTGCATCACTGCCATGATAAACAGGCCTGCATTCCCCATTCACATACACTGCTCACCATCTCACCTTGACTGCTAAAAAGACTTCAGGGACACTATTTAGGCTGTGCAGAAATATTAGAGGAAGACATCCTGGTTATGAAAGTGGTTGGTTACTTCTTCAACCACTGTACTGGAACATTCACTGGCTCTATGTTTACCCTCAGTTCCCATCCAAGGTTAAAAGTGTTCTTTAAATCATAGGAAACTGGCACAGAGAGTAAACCATACTACTGAATTCTCAGAGGGAATCTGTAAGCAGATCATGGAGCTGAAACTGGACTTGCAGAGCTCTGAGTTAGCTACCAGACCATTCTCCTTCCAACAGACACATCTGCCAGCATTCACTTGTGCAGCTTGTTCAGGAAATCTGATGGCTCAACAAAAGAACAAAGTGAGACCAAAACATCCAGGGTGATGTGGGCCAAGAAAGCAAACGCATCAGCAGGGCCAGCAGTATCCACCCTGCATCCAGCACTGCACCAGGGCTGACCTGCTCTGCACAGAGCCCTGCTCAAGCAGCTACGGAGTTCTGCCTTCTCAAGGATGCAGGAGCCAAATGTTGTAGCACACAAAGATCTTTGACATCATTCATCTGCAGCCTCATCCCTCTGTTTTCAGCTAGTCTTAACTGGAGGTGGCTTCCCTGGTTTCAAGAGGCATACAGTTTTCCCAAGGCACTGTAAAGAATGAGAAGGAAATGGACACTGACTCAAGAGAAATAGAAAACAGGCAACATGTGTGGAAACAACCCTGCTTTTGATTAAAAGCAAAAAAAAACAACAAAAAAAACCCACTTGAAAGAAAGCAGCCTAGGGTGTTTCTTAGCTGAAACACAAAGTCTTGGGCTCCTCTACAGCACTCAGCTCAGTGTATCTCAGACTGTGCATACAGTCACTGCTCTCCATGACACCCCTTTACAACTCTCCTAAGAAAACACCCACAATCACTACAAATTATACGTTAGGAATGCTAACTGATATAAACCAGAATGTCTTTGCCTCAGCCAGTACATTCTGCCAATTATCTATCCATGAACCAGGAAGCTGCTTCTTTGAGCAGTGTTCTCCTTCATCCAGTACCCCAGCATCAAATGTTTTGAACTTGGGTGAAGAGAAAGGAGCAGAATTCAAAGAGTTAAGAAATCTTGGTTGCGATTATCAGGGAGAACAGTGGTAATGCAAGGTACAACCATGGCCCTGATCAATATTCCTAATACAAAAAGTATGCATCTCAGGGCATGTCTGCAGCCCTGGAAGCAGTCTTCCAGCTGAGCAGTTGCTTTTTTCCTTCAATTCAGCCTCACTTTTAACTACTCTTGATTAAAACAATTACTTTCACTCAATATTCAATTTCTGACAGGTAATATTCTCCACATATGTTGCAAGCTGGCTGCATCCTTACAGGCAAAACACAAGAGCTCCCTAGAAGCAACTTTTCTTATTTTGTAAGTCATGTATAATTTATGCATCTGCAATATTGACACAGGCTAGAAATATACATCGTGCCAAAATCATTTCCTAAAAGCTTTCAAGAGATTCGAGGGCATTTTCCTCTCAAGGCATTGGTTCCTCTTGTTATTGCCATTAGTTCTCAGGAGAATCCATTACCTGAGTACAAATAATTCCTGTACACTCAACCTCATAACCCAAAATCAAGACCATGTCAACATTCAATGTCATTTAACTGTACAAGTATCTGACAGCCCCTTAAGCACTCATAGGGGTTTTTTTGTTAATTTAGTCCTCAGTTTTTTATCAAAGACTTCCACATGCATAGATGTGCTCCCACCTTCCTAGTCTTGCAGATGGATTCCACATAGGACATACACAACTCTTCCAATTCAGAAGACAATTCAGCTCTTCCAACCAGGTAAATATCGTCTGAATTGGCTGAAAACTGGAGATGACCTTGCAAGCAACCGTTATCATTGTTATGCAAAATACTGAAATCACCTGGGTCTGTTTTACTGAGTTATGAGCAGAAGAGAATTATTGACAAAAGAATCACAGTCAAGTTATATGTTACATGGAGATTCACAGATAGCTGGCAGGATTAGGGAAGCACTTTCCTCATTTCCTTTAGTGGACACTAAAAGAGGGAATGCGGATTTTCAAGAGTTTTCATTCACTTTCCAAATAGCACTGAATTAGCTCTCCTGCACTGCAGAGAAAATTCCATTATCTCTTTTTAAGGGTATACCTAGCTACAGACTCAGGAACACTCCAGCACTGAGTCACCCTCTCTTTCCACCTGCCATGCCTATGACTAGATGTCACACAGGTATGATGTGTTTCTGGCACTCTGAACAAGTTTCATCTTCTTTGCTCAAGTAATACTTTTTTCCATTTTTTTTATTTAAATATTTTTTTTCTTTCTGAAGCCATTCTTGAGAACAAAATATTTTGTCCAATTCTTATCTTGGCTGTTGGATGAATAACCAGAACACTCACCCAAAGCACGTAGTCTTTGATTATTTCCCTCACAAGGTGTGAAGCTGGCTAGAAGAATTTGCAACTATGAGCTTGGAGTATGAGGTCTGGGGGATGAGAAGTGTATGTATACTTTTAGCCTGGGATTCATAAATCAAAGCTTTTTGCAGTAGCAAGTGAACTGACAAAGTATAAATAGAGAAACACATAATTATCACAGATTACAGCTAACAAATCCTCACTGGAGAAAACAGAGTGTGTGTAGGAGAAACTCACTGTCACTGGGGGTTTTGCAGATGACACAGAAGATGCAATTGGAAGGAGCTCTTGATCTCCCACAGCAGTAACAGCTGGCCCCTTCAGTGATGCCACTGCAAGACACAGAACAACAGATCCATGAGTAAAACAGGCAGCTGGCCATCAGGAGTCACTTCAGGAACAAACTTTTCAATCCAGTGTGACTGCTCCCACAATCCCCTTCATCCCACCTCTGTACTTCCCCACACACTCTTCAACCTCAGTGGCGTTTGTTACTAAAATGAAACTTGTAAATAAACATTAACTTACTGGAGAAAATATCTTTTTGCTTATTCTCAATACACAATTTTTTAAAAAAGCATTAAGAAGAGGTGACTTTGTCATTGACTCTATTTACAAACTAGTAATATGAGAGTGAACATGCAATGGCAAGAGAATAAGGACACTGGGCATGTAGAGAAAAGTCCAGGTACCAGCAGCACAAGAAAGAAGCTTTGGTCCCAAGGAACAATGCATAGAAAGCATTCAGAAGAGAGTGTGGGCTTCTGTTTCCTATACTGGGAAAAGGTCACAGCAAAGAAAAGTGAATTTGGTAAATACTTCTAAACATTCAAGTTTCTGAGGCTGACAAATGCCAAGGAAACAAGCTTAGTTTTGTGGAAGCAGTTTATGCAACAAATACCCACAAATAAAAAGCATCTTCTGCTGGAAGTGGTAAAACTTCACCAAGTGATGCTGCATAGGGAAAAGTGAGTTTATAGCTATATTCAAATATATAGAAACATTTGAATGCATAATCAGCCAGTGCATATCAGGTTAGCTCCACCTACAAAAGCAGCAGTAAGGTCAGAGCTGTAGACAAAACAGAACAAGAAGAGAAGAACAATCCCTTCCTTTTCCATGGAAGTTTTATAATTGATAATGAATTGACCACTGTTTAGTGCCACAAGATTTTTGCTAGTGTATACATTTCCTCAGCATTAAGTCTGGAACTGTAGATAAATTTTCTAATTAAGCACGGTGGAATTATCCCCACTGTAAATAATGCAGGGTTAAAAAGCCAACCTCTAAAAAAGAACTGTTCCATCCTTAGTGACCACACACAGCCAAGACTGGCTTTATCTACCCACTTCAAAGATCTTAGGTCTGTAGATCAACTGTGCCTGGCTTGCCTTAGTTTAACTCCCACCTTTTTTGCTGCTATTTGTCTGGGTTTTTTAATCTTGTTATTTCAGGTGTTTAATGACACTAATTTCCAGATGGCCTAGAAATCTAACACACCAGCAAACAGGTTACATCCCTGTTACACACAGGAGTGTCACTCTCTGATACTTCACTGTTTTATAAATCAAACTGGCCCTGAAGAGGCATCAGCAATGCATTCACTAAGCATTGCTTTATTTTGATTTTTCTAAAACAAAGAACTATGGAAGTTTCAAGTGTTTCATAAGAAGAATGAGCTGCCTGATGATTTTTCAATTTGTTTTTTTTTCTTCCTAAACTTGACAAATACCAGGAGCAACATCACCTTTTAAGGCAAAAGGCATCTGAAAGCAAAATCCTGCTTTTAAGCCAGAGTGACTCATAACAGCAAAGATTCTTCCTATAAAAACAAATTCAATCATGAAGTAAGAACAAGCTAGAAGCTCTAGTAATAACAATTCAAACAAATCCTTTTTTCTCCATGACTTTTGTGGACTGATACTGACTGGTTCAAGCAGGTGCTCTTGGCAGCTGCAAAAAAAACCCAAAAACAAGTTAGACAGACCACTGGGCTGACCCAGCCTTATCCTTCATCTGCATCCCTAGGGAGTGCAGCGAGCACAGATGCACAGAACACACTGCAGGCCTTATCTCCTCCATGGGGATGCAGCAGGAAGTCTGTATCCCCACTGCAGGCACGCGTGCTTTCAGCAGAGATAGGGCACCGGAGATGCAGGAGCACGCACACAACACTGCCCGCAGCAGTGGGTACCTGTGTGCAGCCCGGCAGCACCGTTCCTTCACCGTGCCCAGGACAGAATGTCAGTGGAGCCACGAGAGGCAGGGCTGCTCAGACTGCAGCCCTGCCTCCTCCTACAGAGGTGCTCGCTGCCATCAGAAGGGGCAGCTTTGTACCGATGACAGCACATGACCTCAGGAGCCCGCATCCAAGTCCACTCCTCAAATCCAGAACACATCCAGAATCCTGCTCTTTGAGGAGTATCATAGCCATTGCACATTCTCCTTGACCCATTCAACATGTGAGCCCAGGAAACTAAATTTTCAGCAAAGAAGGTGGTGACACCACCAGCAGAGAGTCCAGGGCTCCACTTCCCTCTCCACAAATGGCCTGCTGTATGACCCCAGGCAAAACATTTGGTCTGCTTGTGTCCCACCTTCATTCTCAGGCTGAGCATTTTTTCCTGTCTCTTCTTTTGACCAGGGATGATCTTTTACAAGATATCCAGACCTAGTCATCATGTGTTGCTGTGCACGATGGGGCCTCTAAGTTTTAAGTTTAATAACAGAAACCTCAGCTGCAGTGTAAATCCAATTAGAGCTACAAGGCCCCCCTCAAATCCAGCTACTCTAGATATCCTGCTCCAGACACCAGAGGCATGTTTCCAGTCTTTCTGTCCTGGCTTGTATCAAATGCTTCCAGGCTCTTTGGCTTGTCCCACACCACCTGGAGTCCATCCAAAAATCTCTCTGACAACTCCCAACCATTTAAAAGATTTTTTTTTTTCAGGCTAACTTCACAAGTTCTTAGTGGGGGAAACTACAGCTTGACAAGAGCAGGTGAATTGAGTCCTAATGTCAAATTCAAACTGATCAAAAATCTGTCACAGACAGCTCAGCTTTCCAGGAACTTGGACACCTCGAGTTAGATGAAAGTCCTGCTCTCTGATTTTCTTGCTTTGAAATACCTATACTCACTCTTCCTACTTTTCCATTCCCCCCTTGGCACTCCTGTCAAATACAGAGATCAAGGTGAGCTCCTGCTGTAACACAGGACAGTTTTTCCTTAGGGCTTGTATTTATCTGCACACTGGTTTCTAGATGCAGGACACCTCTCAGTGCTCTAGTACCTTCTAGAGCTTGCTGCTACTTCACAGCATCACACAACGGTATGGCTGGAATGGGCCTTAAAGAGCATCTTGTCCAATCCCCCTGCCATGGACAGAGACACCTTCCATTAGACCAGACTTCCCAAAGTCCCATCCATCCTGGCCCTGAACACTTCCAGGGATGAGGCAGCCATAAGTTCTCTAGACAAACCGTTCCACTGTCCAATCATCATCATTCTTCCAAATACCTAATTGACATCTACCCTCTTCCAGTTTAAAACCATTGCACCTCATTCTGTCACCATGCTCTCTGTTCATCTTTCCTGCTGACCCACTAAGTACCAGAAAGCTGCTAAGAAATCTTCCAGGCTGAACAACCCCAACACCCCCAGTTTGTCCTCAAAGGAGAGATGCTCAGGCTTCTGGTCATTTTTGTGCCCTTCCTCTGGACCCCTTCCAACAGGTCCACATCTCTGTGTTGGTGCCCCAGAGCTGGATGCAGGTGGAGTCTCACTAGAGAGGACCAGAGGGGAAGAAACATCTCCCTGACCTGCTGGTCACACTGCTTTGGATGCAGTCCAGGATACACTTGGTTTTCTGGGGTGTAAGCAGATGTTGTTGGGTCATATTCCTTTTCATCATCCACCAGTACCCTGCCAAGCCCTTCTCCTGTGAACCCACTGCTGCCCACTCTGTATCTGTGCTTGGGATTGCCCCTGCCCAGCTGCAGGAACAGTGCCTTGAACTTCATGAGGTTTGCACGGGCCCATCTCTCCAGCTGGACCTTATCCACTGAGTGCTCCAGCCATCAAATTCATTTCTCTCCATTCCAGAGACAAGGACATCATGTGAGACACTACCAAATGCTTTGCACAAGTCCAGGTAGATGACATCAGTCACCCTTCCCTCATCTACCACCTCTGTGACACTGCCATAGAAGGCCACCAGATTTGTCAGCCACGGTTTGCCCTTAATGAAGCCATGTTGGCTGTCACCAGTCATCTCTTTATTTTCCACGTGCCTCATCGTAGTTCCCAGGAGGATCTGCTCCATGACTTTGCAGAGCACAAAGGTGAGAGACTTACTGGATTTTTTTGAAGGCAAAGGGTGGACATGGCAGGGAACACTTGGTACCATGACATGCTAATATTGCCTGGGTTTTCATTCATCTGAGCTCAATCAACAATTTTTTTCTTCCCCTTAAACCAAAAAACAGCTTCATCCTTCCTATTTTGAGGCAACACCCAAACTGTGACAAATTCCAAACTGCAGTCATTTGGGCAGCAGTCCTAAGAAAGAGCATCATTAACAACAGAGACATCATTAATGCCATTGGATGTTGAGCCTAAAAAGGCTTTTCTGTGTGGGCCTTACTATGGGATCCCTTTTTGCCAGCACTCACAGACACCCAGGGTTAGATTTTAACAGGGAGAGCAGAGAAATGCTCCAATTTGTGTCACAAGAGCACACAAGACATACATGTGTAGCAGAGCTCAACTTCCCTGCCATGAAGAGAACACACAGAAGTTGCCAGCACCCCACAGATCAGGCACAGTCACCTTCACCAGTGGCAAGGGGCCTTTTTCAGTCTCTGCTCTGCTTTCAACTTCTGCAACTAATTCAGGAAATTTACTGACTGACTGAACTCTTGTATTGGCACGCAGTGCCTCTAACAGAAAAAAAAAATAAAAAAAAAAATAAAAAAAAAAAATAAAGCTATTCTCTGAAGTCCTACTAAACACAAGAGGCTGTGGGAAATATATTTTAAAGCAGACAGGAGTACTGCTTGCTCTTATTTTTAAGAGGAAAAATACCAAAAAGAAATGTCAGCAAGATTCTTCTCTGTATTGCCACCCACCAGTCTCCTACCCACCCCTGCGTTTTTGCTTACGATTTTTTAAATTAAGGTAACATTGTATTTTTTGCCCACATGGTCTCCCCCTCAAACAAAACTCCACTTGACAACTTGCAATCATTTGAAATCTCTCCCTTCAATTTCTATTGCTTGATGTAAGACATTTTCACACTGTCAGGAAAGACTACTCTCCTGCCATGCCCATAGC